TGGCCTGTGCAAAAAACAGGTGGATCTTGGAAAATGACAGTAGATTATCGTAAACTTAATCAGGTGGTGACTCCAATTGCAGCTGCTGTTCCTGATATGGTTTCATTGCTTGAGAAAATTAGTACATCTCCTGGTACTTGGTATGCAGCCATTGATCTGGCCGATGTCTTTTTCTTGATACCAATTTCAAAGGACCATCAGAAGCAGTTTGCCTTCAGCTGGCAAGGCCAACAGTATAATTTCACAGTGCTTCCTCAAGTGTATATCTAGTCCCCAGAACTATGTCATAATTTAGTCTATAGAGATCTTGATCACCTTTCCCTTCCACAAGACATCACACTGGTGCATTATATTGATGACATTATGCTGATTGGACCTCGTAAGGAAGAAGTGTCGAAGACTTCTAGACTTATTGGTGAGACATATGTGCTAGAGTTTAGGAAATTAACCCAACAAAGATTCAGGCACCTTGCACCTCAGTGAAATTTTTAGGGGTCCAGTGGTGTGAGGCATGTCAAAATATTCCTACTACAGTGAAGGATAAGTATTGCATCTGGCTTTCCCCACAACTAAAAAGGAGGCACAAAATCTGGTGGGCTTCTTTGGATTTTGGAGGCAATATAGCCCTCATTTGGTTATGTTGCTGTGGCCTATTTATCAAGTGACTCGGAAAGCTGCTAGCTTTAAGTGGGACCCAGAACAACTGAAGGCTCTGCAACAGTTTCAGGCCTGCCGTGCAGGCTGCTCTGCCACTTGGGCCATATGATGCAGCTGATCCAATGGTACTTGAAGTGTCTGTAGGAGATAGAGATGCTGTTTGGAGCCTTTGTCAGGTCCCTATTAGTGAATCACAACACAGACCCTTGGAATTTGGGAGCAAAGCCCTGCCATCCTCTGCAGATAACTACTCTCCTTTTGAGAAACAGCTTTTAGCTTGTTACTAGGTTTTAGTAGAGACTGAACACCTAACCATGGGCCACAAAGTCACCATGAGGCCTGAGCTGCCCATCATGAACTGGGTGTTGTCTGACCCACAGAGTCATAAAGTTGGACGTGCACAGCAGCACTCCATCATTAAATGGAAGTGGTATATCACAGATTGGGCTCAAGCAGGACCTGAAGGCACAAGTAAATTGTATGAGGAAGTGGCCAAAATGCCTATGGTCTCCACTGCAGTCACATTACCTTCCTTCTCCTAGTCTGCACCTATGGCCTCATGGGGAGCTCCTTATGATCAGTTGACTGAGAAAGAGAAAACTTGTGCCAGGTTTACAGATGATTCTGCACAATACGCAGGCACCACTTGAAAGTGGATAGCAGCAGCACTGCAGCCCCTTTTTTGGAACTTTCTTGAAGGACAGTGGTGAAGGGAAATCCTCCCAATGGGCAGAACTTCGAGCCGTGTATACGGCTATTCACTTTGCATGGAATAAGTAATGGCCAGATATGCTATTGTATATGAACTCATGGACTGTGGTTAATGGCTTGTGGCGTGGTCTGGGACTTGGAAGGAACATGATTGAAAAATTGATGATAAGGATGTATGGGGAAGAGGTATGTGGATAGAGTTCTCTGAATGGGCCAAAGGAGTAAAGATATTTGTGTCTCATGTATTGGTATTCCTTCACCTTGGCAGAAGAGGACTTTAACAATCAGGTGGATAGGATGACACGTTCAGTGGAATCCAGCCATTCTTTTCCCAAGCTACTCTTGTCATCATTGCTCAATGGACTCATGAACAAAGTGGCCATGGTTGCATGGATGGAGGTTATGCATGGGCTCAGCAACATGGATTCCCACTTACCAAGGCTGATTTGTCTACTTCCACTGGGGGGGGTGCCCAATCTGCCAGCAGCAGAGACCAACACTGAGTTCCATGATGTGGAACCATTCCTTGGGGTGATCAGCCAGCAATGTGGTGGTAGGTTGATTACATTGGACAACTTCCATCATGGAAAGGACAACATTTTGTTCTTACTGGAATAGATACTTATTCTGGATATGGATTTGGCTTCTCTGCACACAATGCTTCTGCCAAAACTACCATCTGTGGACTTACACAATGCCTTATCCTCCCTCCATCATGGTATCCCACACAGCATTGCTTCGGATCAAGGGACTCACTTCACAGCAAATGAAGTGTGGGTATGATATTCTCCTCATCCTGAAGCAGCTGGCTTGATAGAACGATGGAATGGCCTACTGAAAACACAACTACAGTACCAGCGAGGTGTCAATACCTTGGAAGGTTGGGGCAATGTACTCCAGAAGGCTGGATATGCTCTAAACTAACGTCTAATATACAGTGATTTTTCTCCAATAACCAGGATTCACAGGTCCAGGAACCAAGAGGTGGAAATGGGAGTGGTACCACTCACTATTATCCCTAGTGACCCACTCAAAAAATTTTTGCTTCCTGTCCCTGCTACCCTATGCTCTGTGGGTCTGGAGATCTCTGCCCCAAAGGGAGAAACACTCCCACCTGGAGACACAATACTGATTGCATTGAACTGGAAGTTAAGAATGCCACCTGGCCATTTTGGCTTCCTCATGCCTCTGGATCAACAGACAAAAAAGGGCATTACTGTACTATCTGGTGTAATAGGTCCTGATTCCCAAGGGGAAATTGGATTGACATTATACAGTGGAGGTTAAAGAAGAATATATCTGGAATACAAGAGATTCTTTAGGACGTGTCTTAGTATTACCATGCCCTGTGATTAAAGTTCATCAATCCAATTCTGATATGACTGCCAATGGCCCAGACCCTTCAGGAATGAAGATTTGGGTCACCCCACCAGGCAAAGAACCATGACCAGCTGAGGTGCTTGCTGAGGGCAAGGGAAATACAGAATGGGTGGTGGAAGAAGGTAGTTCTGAATATCAGCTATGACCACATGACCAGTTGCAGAAATGAGAATTTGTTATATTGTTATATTTCTTCATTGTATATATGCCTCAAATATTTTTGTTTCCTTCTGTTATGAACTATGAAATGTAAATAAGGTTAATGCGTTTCAGTTGTACATGTGTTAGCATATTATGTTAGGTGCAAGTATGACTTTATAATTGTCCTTATTTTGAGATTATATATGGTTCAAAAGATGTGTACAATTGCCAAGTAGACAAGGGGTGGACTGTGATAGTTGGAGCTGTGTGTCAACTTAGCTGGACCACAATTCTGTGTGGTTTAAGCAATTGTGGTGTGGGTTGTTCCCATGATGGGATCAGATGTATCTGTTTTGAGCAGCCAATCCATTGAAAGGGAGTTTCCCTAGTGGTGTGGCCTGCTTCCAATATATTTATGGACATCCTGGGAAAAGATACACTCTTCTGTGTATTGGGACTCTGTTGTGGTGCCTACAACTGTCCATGAGCGAACAATCCACCATGGATTCATCATTCGTTGGAGTCAACAGCCAGTATACTGCCTGCCAACCTAGAGCTCCTCAGCCCCTGCAGGTGTGCAAGTCAGGAAAAGCCTCCAGCTTGACGTTTGATCCAAGAACTTTGGACTTGCCAGCTTCTATAACTGTGTGAGCCATTTTCCTAAGATAAATTTTTCTTTCTCTCTCTGTATAAGCTTTACTGCTTTTGTTTCTCTAGAGAACCCAGTTTAACAGACAGAGAGACAGACTAAGGTAAGAGAAAGAGATAGTGAAAAAGTTTTAAGACCAGTGTTGGAAGTCTCACTGAGTTGAATAATTGGTGAAGTCTGTATACTACAAGAAGTAAGTTGGTAGCATATACCATGGAAAATGTGCTCAGATTTGTTGTTAGGTGTTGTCAAGTTGGTTCTGACATATAGCAAGTCTGTGTACAACAGAACAACTCACTATTTTGTCCTGCACACTGTAGTCACAATGATTGCTGTGTTTTTTCAATTAATGCTCAATTAATGTTGTTTAATTTAAAATGTTATATTATTTATACAGGAGGCTCATGAAGAAATTAAGTTTCATAGTTAGATAATCTAATCCTTCCCAGCTTTGACAAGAATGAACATTGAAGCAAATATGTTTTCTTAGTAATTAAGTGCTGAGTAATTAACCTGCTACTATTTCTGAAGATCAGACTGTTAGATGGATTCTTTCTGACCATTGTTCTATGGCCAGAAATGTCCAGTGGTTATGCAGAGAATCTTAGAGCCCTGGTTAGAGAAGCTGTAGGAAGTGAGACTAACCAATGAATAGATGTGTGCTCCAGTTTCTCTTCTCTGCATTCTCTCCTCCAGCTCTACCTGCATTGTTACACAGGAGGAGAGCTCCAGAGTTAATTCACTCTGCATTTTCTGCAGGTTCCTTTTTAATGACAATAAACTTAAAGCTACTTAAATAACTCATCTGCTTTCTATATGAATTGGTATATAAAAGTTCTTAAGACATATAAAAGAATCAAAACATGTTAGTTGTTGCTCTTAGTTTTAGTACCGTCTCACTCTTCAGATCTGTGCTGAGCAATATGAAAGCCAGTAGCTACATGGGGCTATTGAGCAGTTGAAGTATTGCTAGTCTGCCCTGAGATGTGTTCTAAGAATAAATTAAGTTCCAATTCAAAGATTTAGTATGAATAATATTAATAAAATAAATAAAATACTTCACTAATGATTTTATATTGACTATATATTATTTTGGTTATATTGAGCTAAATAAAATATATTACTAAAATTATTTTCACCTGTTTCTTTTTATGTTATTCAATGTAGCTCTTAAAAATTTAAAATTACATGTATACCTCCCATTTGTAGCTTGCATTATATTTCTCTCTATTTTGGAGGGAACCTGTTTCCTATGCAGAGTGTTGTGGCAAAACAACTGTATTACATACACTCATCAAGGATCTTGATCAGCTAAAAAGCAAGGAAAAAGGGTCAATTCATAGCTGAAGAAACAGGAACTGTTCACTTATTAATAATTGAAATTAAATATGGTATTTGTTTTTCATCTTTCAAAAACTATAGTTAATATTTTATGTCTAATGAAAAGAAATCCTGTTTCTAGGTTACTGGTTGGTTCACCTTGGAGTGGCTTTCCTGAGAACCGAATGGGAGATGTGTATAAATGTCCTGTTGATCAATCCACTGTTACTTGTGAAAAACTGAATTTACAGAGTAAGTTGTAATTAGTAATGCAATTTTTTACAAACAACAAAATCTCATTTGCTATATAGCTGACCGAAAAAACAACAGCAGCAAAACGGAGTAATTGTTTGCTTTATCTGTTTAGTCAGTGGGGGACAATTGTATTCCAAATTTCCAATACTGTTTGATGTAACATGATACATGGGAGCTTGCTGCCTCCTGGATCATCTACCCTCAGACTGTGGTAGGATTTTTATTAACTCTTAGAAAAAAATGCTGCCTCTCTAAGATATAAAGGAAGAAGATAAAACATAGGAGTACTGAGAATGACCTTTAAATACTGATGTGAGAAGTTGAGATTGCTCCTAGAGTGTGATTGACCTTTTCTGCACTAGAGAGGTTATTTACTGAGTGATGGGACCCAGATTGAGGTTGGAGGCTTGAAAGGAATCTAAGTAAAGAAAAATGAAAGTGTCAAAGATAACTGGCAGAAATGAGAGAACAGGGGTAAATAATGTTCTTGAGGAGAATTGCAGTGTTCAGTAACTCAAGGATAGATACAGTGGATGATGTTCTAGTTCAGTGGCAGAAAGGAAGTTAGAGAGATTTAGTTATTTTATATGGCTAATCTCCCAACTTCTCTTTTCAATTCACCCACTATTGCTTTGTGCTAGAGTCTATCATATGGCATTCTTTGGTAATGCTTTAAGGATATTTTTATTAATGGAGAAAAAAAAGCCATCATGACCTCAGAAAAAACAGGGGTGGCAAGCTGGGGACCAAACTTGGTCCTCAGATGTGTTTTCTTCAGCCAGCTCATTATTTTTAAAAAATCTAAATTTGAATGGCTGTAGATTGTTCCATCTCCAGGCCCCATGCCTCCCTAATATCTTATACTCTGCAGCCTCATAAATTTAAGCAGGCTTCTAGATCACTGCATGCATCTCATTTCCATGAGATTCAATACTTCATTATATAAAACGTGATCTATGACATTAAATTCAATGCTACAAATAGCCACTAGCATGTCTTTTTTTTTTTTTTTTTTAACTTTAAATAAGTAGGTGACATTTAATCACTTTTTTAATTTTTCCCCTTTGAAAGCTTCTACCAGCATTTCAAACGTTACTGAGATGAAAACCAACATGAGCCTCGGATTGACCCTCACAAGGAACATGGGAACCGGAGGGTTTCTCGTGAGTGTTTACTCTTCTAATTCTCATTCCTCTCAAGAAAGTGTGGAGTTAGTGTCTTCTCACCATCCTCCTCTTCAAATAAAATGTTGATGTTTAAATGCTAGAGCTTGCTTTTCTATAAGTAGTACTATTTGGCTATCCAACATGAAGTAACAATCTGTGGAAGTATCTACATCTTAGGATATTCATTCAGCAAAACAATACTTCATGTTGCAACAGAATTCTTTGAAAGAAAGAAGCAAAAGGAACATTAATTCTTTGCTCTTGGAAGGTGGGCTCAGTATTTCTCGAAACAGCAGAATCCCAAGTCTCAGTGCTAACTTTAGTACTCTCTGCCATCAAGTGTGATCTGACTCATAGCAACCCCGCCTTGGGTTTCTGAGGCAGTATCACCATGGAAGTAGATTGCCCAATCTTCCTTCCAAGGAATGGAATGTTTAAAATAGCTGTCACTATTTCAGAAAGTAGGTTTCAAAGCTAAAGAGCATTTCTTGTAGCTACTGACTAATATGATATTACATGGCTCAGTATCTCATCTTACCTGATGTTAATATTTACTCTCATTCAATTTCTAAAATGCTATGAAAACACATCACAAATCAGTGAGATAGAATGCTTCTTTCAATAAGTGGTGCAAGGATAATTGGTTAATAATTTATACAGCTAAATAGATTTCAAATGAATAAAAGAATTAACATCAAAAAACTAAAACCAAACTCAGTGCCATCAAGTCAGACCTGACTCAGAGCGACCCCTCCTTGGGTTTCCAAGGCAGTATCACTATGGAAGTAGATTGCCCAACCTTCTTTCCAAGGAGTGGCTGGTGGGTTTGAACCGCCAGCCTTCTGGTTAGCAGTCAGATGCCTTAGGCACTATGCCAAACTAGAAAAAAGTGGAAATTTTCAGAAAAAATATAATTTCTTTATTTTTATTTTTATTGTGATTTAGGTGAAAGTTTGTAGAGTAGATTGGTTTTTGATTCAATAGTTCATACACATTTTGTTTGGGGACATTGATTGCAATCCCCACAGTATAACAGCTCTTGCCCCACTTCCTCCCTGTGGTTGCCATTTACTTTGGTCCTTCTTCCCTATCCATTTCTGCCTTCTGAGCTTTATTCCTGGGCAAACGGTGCCATTTTGCTCTCATGTGGCTGATTGTTTTAAGAAGTGCACACCTCCCTGGTGTTATTTTTCACCTCATAAGCCCTGTCTATTGTTTGGCTGGAAGTTGAGCCATAGGGGTAAGTTCAGTTCTGGGCTTGCAGGATGGCTCAAGGCCATAGTCTCAAGAGGTTCCTCCAGCCTCTGTCAGACAAATAAGCCTGGTCTTTTTATTATTATTATTTTGAGTTTTGTTCCACATTTTTCTCCCACTCTATTTAGGATCTCCTGTTATGATCCTTTTCACAGTGGTGGGCAATGGTAGCCAGACACCTTATAGTTTTCTGGTATCAGATTCTTAAAGGCAGAGGTTCATGTGGTCCATAGACTTTTGGACTAATTGTTTCCATATGTCCCTGATTTTCTTCACTCTTCTTTGCTCTAGACTAGGCAAAATAAGAGGATCTCTGGTGGCACAATGCCTAAGGCATTTGACTGCTAGTCAAAAGGTTGGTGGTTCAAACCTACCAGCCACTCCACAGAAGGAAGATGGGGCAAACTACTTCTGTAAAGGTTTACTGCCTCAGAAAGCCAATGAAGATTGCTATAATTTGGAATTGACTCTACAACAGTGAGTTTGGTTTTGGTGAGGAGATACTAATAGCTCCACTTTAGATGACCACTCACAAGCTTTTAAGACCCCAGTCTTAAGAAGACAACCTAGTAACCGTGTACTGTGTTATGCCAGTAGAGCTCAATGTCCTCCCGACCATGGTCCCAAGCTAGGAAGTCCAGTGACTCACTCCCTCAAGGTGTTTGGTGGTGGCTAAAAACTTATCACAGAAGTTGACACAGTGGCCTCAGCAATGAGCTCAAGCATAGCAAGGATTATGAGGATAGTGCAGGACCAGACAGGGTTTCATTCTGTTGTGCATAAGGTCACTAGGAGTTGGAGCTGACTCAGCAGAATCTGACTAAGAAGTTATTATGATTTGCCTCCAGTTAGCTCTTTTATATATATGGATATTTTTATAGTACATACAATACAAATGTAGAAATATCCTCTGCCAAATCTATATATGGTCATAGGTATATTCCTGTTCACCTACTCATACCTTGTCATCTTGCCTGTTTACCTGTTTGTCCATCTGTAAATTAATGTTTGCTAATACTGGGAACTCTGGTAGCATAGTCCCTAAGGCACTTGACTGCTAACCAGAAGTCTGGCAGTTCAAACCCACTAACCACTCCTTGGAAGGAAGATGGGATAATCTACTTCCATAGTGATACTGCCTCAGAAACCCAAGGAGGGGTCGCTATGAGTTGATCCGACTCGACAGCACATAACAACAACAACAACAACAATACTGATAATTATATTGTGTGTGTAATAGTATTTTCTTTGTTATCTGTAACTCTTGAGCACCTCTCCATGTCTTTTTTTTTCTTTACTGATCTTGTGCTGGTCACCCGCTGTTGGTATAATGCCTTTCCCTTCACCCAAATCAATACATGTCCCTAATCTAGCTAGAAGTTTCTCCTCCCTTTCTCTCCCATTCCTGGTAACCAATAAAAAAAATTCTTTCTGTATGTAAACATTTCCTTGACTTTATTAAGATAGTGGACTAATACAATATTTGTCCTGTGATTGACTTATTTCACTAAGCAAAATGTCCTCCAAGTTCATCCACATTATGAGGTGTTTCATGGATTCTTCATTATTCTTTATTTTTGCATAGTATTCCATTGTGTGTAAATACTATAGATTGTCCATTGATCCATTGATGGGGACTTAGGTTGTTTCCCTCTCTTTGCTATCGTGAACAGAGCTGTGATGAACATGCTATTGTTGTTAGGTGCCACCAAGTCAGCTCCTACTGATAGTGACCCTTTGGACAACAGAATGAAACACTGCCCAGTCCTGTGCCATCTTCATAATCCTAGCTATGCTTGAGCTCATCATAGCAGATGCTGTGTCAATCCATCTCCTTGAAGGTCTTCACCTTTTTTGCTGACCCTCTACTTTCCAAGCATGATATCCTTCTCCAGAGACTGGTCCTTGTGATGAACATGGGTGTGTATATATCTACCTGTGTCCCAGCTCTCACTTCTTTAGGATATGTACCTAGTAGGTGATTGCTAGATTAAATAGTATTCCTATGGTCAACTTTTTAAGAAAGTGCCATACCATTTTCCATAGCGTTTACATCATTTTACAATCCCACCAGCAGTGTATGAGAGTTCTAATCTCTCCACATCCTCACCAGCATTTCTTATTTTCTGTCTTTTTGGACTTTGCACTTATCACTAGGATAAGATGATATCTTGTTTTGATTTGCATCTCTCTAATGGCTAATGAACCCACCAGCCATTCTGCAGAAGGAAGATGAGGAATCAATTTCCATAAAGATTTACCACCTAGGACACCCAATAGCATGTTGCTATGAGTCAGAATCCAGTTGATGACAGTAGATGTAGTTTTTTTGGTTTGGAAAGGGTAATGATAGCAAGGATTTCTTCATGTGATTGTTGGTCACCTAAATATCTTCTTTGCTGAGGTTTCTGTTCGTGTCCTCTGCCCATTTCCTAATTGGATTGCTGTAGAAATGCTGGAGTTTTCTATAAATTTTAGAGACAAGCCCTTGTCAGCTATATCATTGCCAGATTTTTCCCAATTTGTAGATTTTCTTTTTACTCTTCTAGAGAAATATTTTGATGTATATAAGATTTAATTTTTAGAAGTTTCCAATCATCTAGTTTATCTTCTGCTATTTGTGCATTGCTAGTCTATTTATTCCATAAATTAGGACCCGTATGTTGGCCTCTATTTTTTCTTTGATAAACTTCATAGTTTCAGGTTTTACATTTAGGTCTTTGATACAACTTGAGTTAATTTTTGTTAGGGAGTGAGTTACGGATCTTGTTTCATTTTTCTGTAAATGGCCAGTTTCCCAGCACAGTTTATTAAAGAGGCTGTCTTTTCCCCATTTAAGGGATTTCAGCCCTGTGTCAAAGATCAGCTGTCCCACAGGAGGATGAATTTATTTCGGGGTTCTCAATTCTGTTCCATAGATCTATGTATTGGTCTGTACTAATACCAGGCTGTTTTGACTACTATGGCTATAGAATAGGTTTTAATATCAGAAAGTGTGAAAACTCTTTTCTTCAACAATGCTTTGCTTATCTGAGATCTCTTTCTTTTACATATAAAATTAGTAGTTGATTTTTTCCATCTCCTTAAAAAATGTTGATGGAATTTGGATCAGAATTACATTGAATCTATAGATTGTTTTGTGTGGTGTTGACATTTCACAATGTTCAGTCTTCGTATCCATGAGAATGGTATGTTTTTCCATATATGTAGGTCTCTTAGCTTCTTGTAGTAGTGTTTTGTAGTTTTCTTTGAATAAGTCTTTTTTTGTCTCTGGTAAGATTTATTCCTAAGTAATTTATCTTTTTGGTAGCTGTTGTAAATGGTATTATATTCCATATTTCGTTTTCAGAGATATTTTTCTTGGTGTAGAGGAATCTGACTCATTTTCTTATGTTGATCTTACACCCTACCATTTAATTGAATCTTTCAATTCATTCCAGTAATTTTCTTGCTGAGTCTCTGTGATCTTCTATGTTTAGGATCATATAATCTGCAAATAGGGAAAGTTTTACTTTTTTGTTACTAACATAGATGCCTTTTATTTCCCTTTCTTAGCTTATTGCACTGGCTAGGACTTCCAATACAGTGTTGAATAGGAGTAATGATAGAGGCCATCTGTTTCGGTTACCTAGTGTTCCTGTAACAGACATACCACAAGTGATGGCTTGAACAAACAGGAATTTATTCTCTTATTGTTTAGGAGGATAGAAGTCTGAGTTCAAAGTTCCAGATCTAGGGGCTCG